TGTTATGAACAGCGAATACAAACAAATGCACTTTCGAAATTTAATGATATAGGGACATTGACTAGACTAACCTTCTGGCATGCACTGACATTCGGCATAAAGTCCACGCCATCATTCATCAACTTGTTACGAATTTGTCTGGTCTTCATGTTAGCGCGTACCATTTTCTGCACCATGTTTTAGTTGAGATGAATTGACATGGTACAATATAAATAACTAGGTTATGACAAATAATTTGACATTACGGCTCTTACCGAAAACATATTTGGCAAATACCACACATTTGGCTCTTTCACATCATGTTTTTCAGACATTGTTAGTGCCCTTGCAAACAAATCCACTACCTACCATCCAACAATCAAACACAAAATCATCGTAAATCCTAACATAAATAGTGCACAATTCATACGAAATCGTAGTAGTATAGTACTTACTGATGAGCAAACCCAGCTTTTCTCGCTAATGACTGAACTCAAATAATGTCGTTGCACGTTTTCAGAAAAAAAAGTCCACAATCATCAAACTGCAAAAATCAAGATAACAGACATGTCAATTGTATTTTTTTGCAACGTACAGGTGGACCTGTACACAGTCACGGTCGACCTTATTGGACAAACGGTCGACCTTATTGGACAAACGCTCGACCACACGTACTAAGAAAATGTCTTACTTGTCCCAATTCTTGTCCCCAACCTTCTCTTTAGTAACAACATAATACAAGTCTTCAACTGGATTTTGAAGATTTTTGGTGAATCCTTCTAGACCCTCCACTTTCATGACCTACAAATCATAGTTAAAATTAAAGTAACATATGAACACAAACACACATTATAGATGAATATGTAACGTAAACTTACCCCGTGCTTTTCGAAAGGACTCTTAGATTCATCTTCATCGCTATCATCACTAAATAATCCCTTTCTTACAAATTGATCCTTCTGTGGAGTGGTGTAGGAGTCACTTTCATATCGCGATCTCTTGTAATTAGGAGAGGAACCCTTGCGGCCATTCTTTGTTTCACTCTGTCAAACATATAAACAAAACAGATTAGCACTAATGATAGTAATACTAATATCTTCAATCACATATGAATATACTTCGATACCTTTAAAATGTGCTCTTTCAATAAATCGTCTATGCTCTGGTAGCAATTTTCAGAGTCATCATGGTCTTCCTCCTCTTTACCAAAGTCAAATTTCTTTCCTTTACCATTTCTTCCGCCATTCTCCATTCGTTCTGCACTTATATCTTTGATAGCACCTTCTAGCCTCTCAAACCCGTCATGCATCATCCCAGTCATATCTGTCAGTCGAACTGATAAATGCTCGACTTGTGTTTGACACACCACCAGCTTCTCTTGTGTGGCTTTCAACAATTTCATGATTTCACCCAAATCTTGATGCAGTTTCTCATCATGCGTCATCGTCTAAACAATTTATAGAAAAATTAAAATCATAATTCAAGTACAAATTTCTATAATTGACCAAAAAATAAAGACGTGGTCGACCTGACAAAGTATTAGGTCGACCTGTAAGACAAATAGTGACTACCACAACTCGTCAGGTCGACCTCTGTTATTCGTAGGTCGACCTATCCAGCAGGAAAATAACAATTACAAACAAATAGTAAGTTCAAAATTAAACCGAAAAAAGGACAGGTCGACCAGATATCTGGCGCGGTCGACCTTTTCAAGCACAACATAGTCATACAAACAAAGCCAAAGTCGACATTCAGGTTGAATAACCAAAAAAAACATATACGGTCGACCTTGAAACTCATTAGGTCGACCGATTGGGTTACCTCGCAAGTACAGAAGTCCAAGTGTTGTGGTCTAAATTCAAATACGAAGAATTGTCTCGTCAGGTCGACCTGATTGACGTCACAGTCGACCGAATTGAATTCTGCACCCAACAATATATCAAGTTAGCCGGTGGAAATCACGCATTAAAAAAGAAGACGGCGAATGCTACATTAGGTCGACCTCACCTTAGACCCGGTCGACCACTTCCAACACGTACAACAGCAACCGCGAACGATCTTCTTCACAAAGGCTCTAAGTCGGAAAAAAACCTAATTCAGACTTGGTGGCGTTGAAGGGGACTCATATTCGTATTTATAGAGATTTAGGACGTGAATGGGTCGACCCAATTCGTTTCCTTGTCCAATTGTGGAACCTTTCTGGTGTTGGAATCCATATCCAATACGGATACGGCCTGAAGGCGGTCGACCTCCTCATAATGCGGTCGACCTGTTAGGTGCACAAGGGTCGGCCTATGAGATATTTGGGTCGACCTGTTATTCTGTTAGACCACCAAAACGGTCGACCGCATTTTGTAAGAAGTCGACCGCCTTCAGGAACCCAACATACATGAATTAGTCCATTCGGTCGACCGCAAGTTGGATTCGGTCGACCGAAAAGTCCATGTCACGGTGACATGCATGTCACCGTAGCAAAATCCTTAGCTACATTGCATATAAAACATGGCTTAATTCAATTATTAGCCACGCATAATCTTATTCAAACTAAACACTTATACTTTTTGCCATGAATAGTTGTGTGAAATTGCTATGGGTGGCAGGCCTTTTTTCACAAAAAAGAAAATTCCAGATAATTAATATATTTTTTTAGGATATTAAAATTCATAATTATATTTTACATTTTTATGGGGTTGAAATATAGGGCTCGTCACATCAATAAGAGAAACAATAAGTAAAAAAATATTATTCAATAATCAATACTCATTAAATTCATTAATTTGATTAAATATAACATTGTTCAATACAATATGAGATACAAAATAGTATACATCATCATCACATAAAGAAAAATGTAATAATATCTTAATAAACTCGTATTACTATTTACAAAGATAAGTACAAATTGCCAAACAAGCTAACATTTCAAATGAATAAATTCATGGTTATAATTATCTGCTTCTTCCGCTATGATTCCTGCGAGTTTAGTTCCATCTCCTGGAAAAGAAAGAAAAGCAATTATAAGTTCCATGGCAGAATACTAATAATGCATACCAAGTACTAGCCTAATATATGTACAGTTATAAAGTGAGAAGTTGTTTTTTTTCGTCCCCTTTAGAAACAATAGGTAACAATGATATTCAGGTTAAATAAACAAGGACAGATCAGTGGCTTACAATTGAGTTCGCTAGGCTGAATTTAGATAAGTAGTGACAATACTATGTTATATTGAATGAGAAAAGATCATTTGGTCAGTAGAAATATATGTCCAGATAATATATTTACTAGTTCGTCATATTGAATTCGATGCTCAAACAATATGAAATCGGTGTACAAACCTGAGAAATATGAACTGATTCTATAGATGCAGATGAAAAAACTCAAAATTTGACTAAACAAGTTCTAAGGATGGGATCTCAAGATCATATTCCTCCGTAGATTAGTAGAGAGGTGAATGAAGGATACCTCCATCGCTGATGAACGAAAGACGCCACGGAGCTTCAACGTGCTGTGTGTGTATTGATGGCGGAAGAATTATAAAGCTTGTTGGTAATCAGAAATGTAAGAGTGAATAAGCCGGAGATCCCAATTGGCTTTGGTGTGAAAAAGAGATAGAGGCGGCGACGCGGCGTTGAGAAGGTGTTGCGGCAGTGCGGCTAGGGCTCCCTAGGAATAAAAAGATAGCTAGGGTTTGAAAGAGGAGTCGAAAGACCCTTTTAAAACATTTTCCTCTTACAATTAATGAATTTGTACCATTTCTAAATACCAAGTTTTGCTTGCAAGTTAAAATTTTATAGCAAATACACAATATGAATAGTTTCACCTGTTTAGCGATATAGCTAATTGTCATAAACAGCTATGTATTTAATTTTCATGGCTAAAACAAAATTTCCAATATGACAATAGCCACAAATGTCTATTTCTAGTGGCTTAATACACTATTTTGCTTTATTGTTTCCGTAGAGCAGAACGTTCGTGGCAAATTGAATACCAATTGTCATGTTACAAAAAGTTCGAATCAAAATAATTAAACTAGCTATTCGTGTATACCAATTGTCATGTTACAAAAAGTTCGAATCAAAATAATTAAACTAGCTATGTCGTGTAACATTTGTGGCTTAATAAAATAATAATAGCCATTTGAAGAGACTTTTGCAGCAATTAATCTGTAATAGCTACAAAACAGTTTTTCATGGCAATGATTTTGTGGCTATATGTGACATTTCTTGTAGTGCAACTAGTATTAGAGTTGTGATGTGTTTTAATTTCCACCATTTTGTGATCACAGAAAATGATTAAATCATCTAGAGCACATTATTAATTCTGGAAGAAAAACTATACCAAAGAATATGGATCTCCAAGTAAGGCGGTCAACACGCAATATTGTGCAATTAATAAATTTCTTAAGTAAGATATCAATCTCACAGAGTGTACTATGGACTTTGAGTTACATTTGAACTGTATTCTTTGCCTAAAGATTTTTTTTTTGGTGAAAATTTGCCTAAAGAAATTTAAAGCGCCATTATAGAAAAGTCCAATTTCATAAATGACCATCTGGCCTAAAATATTCGGTTCTTCCTCACCCAAAGGACCGCTTAGTTGGGTTGCTTAACCTTGACAGCAACCTAGTGATCTGCCACAATCTGGCTCCTCCTGACTGGATCCCAAATAAATAAAAAAATCCCACCTTCTAGAGATCGTGGTGGTTGCGTGGTGGTCAATGAGGTTAAAAATGAGCAAAAAATCAAAGAAGATCAATCGAGATGCGAATTAATACATGAAATAAGCTGGCTAGCTATACGCCTTGTTTATTACACACGTTCTCGCGCGAGGAAGCCGGCAATTGCTAAGCTTCCTATCACGTCGCATGAGCTCGCTTGGATCGTAAACATCGTGCTTCGTGCATATAAATATCCTAGCTAAAGATCTGTCCATCACACAAGCAACCATTAAACGACCATTACCCCTTGCCTAGCCGAAGAAGGATTAGGACCAACATTTCCTCTCCACGGTACTGAAAGATGATGTCACTCAACGTCCGAATCGTCTCCGAAGAAACCATCAAGCCGTCGTCCCCGACGCCACCGCACCTCAGGATCCACAAGCTTTCGTGCATGGACCAAGCCTCCCCTCCTCGCTACATGCCTGCACTCTTTTCCTACCCCACGAACCACGACTCATCACAACCCTCTTCCCAAACCGAAGTTCTCGAGAAGCTCAGATCCTCCCTCTCCACCACACTCAACCACTACTACCCATTCGCCGGCAGGTTCCGGGACGACGGCGTCTCCGTCGAGTGCAACGGCCACGGCGTTCCTTTCGTCGTGGCCAGCGTGGAAGGGGACAACGCTGACATGTCATCTGTGCTGGACTCGCCCGACGAAGACCGCCTGGTCCAGCTGATTCCCTGCCATCCCCAGCACAGGCTGACGGACACCAAAGGAGAGTTGTTCCTTCTGGCCGTGCGGGTCAATTTTTTCAAGTGTGGCGGGATAGCCGTTGCGATCTGCGCCTGGCACGGCGTGGCCGACGCGTCGAGCCTCTGCTGTTTCGCGCAAGCATGGGCCGCCATCTGTCGCGGGGACCCTAGGGTGTACGGCCTACTGAAGGGCGCCGTCGTGGACTGCAGCTCCCTCTTTCCTCCGCAGGACTTCCTGTCCCGCGGAGCAATGTTAAATTACCACAAGCAGCCGTCTGACTCGAACAATAGCTCGAGTCAGACGACTGCTGCTGGTGCTGGTGCTGCAGCAGCCAGCAGGGTGATAGTGAAGCGGTTCGTTTTCCCTGGCTCTAAAATCACAGCACTCAGGGAAAGGATCATGATCATCAGCAGTGGCAGTCGTCGACTGACACGTGTTGAGGCGATCTCTTCCCTCTTCTGGGCAGCGGCCATTCGGGTCGGTGAACAGAAGAGAAAGGAGGAAAAAGAAGAGGGGGCTCGATTTCATTCCGCGGTGATGGTGGTGAACATACGAACGAGGACAAGCCCACCGTTGCCGGACGTGTGCATGGGAAACCTAATCCAGCCGACGGTGGCAGTGAAATGGCCGATGAATGACAGTGGCAAGAAGGCGACGGTGGATGGGGAGGACGAGGAGACGTTGTTATTAGGTGGCTTGGCGGGAAAATTGGGAGAGGCGGTAAGGACAGTCAACCCAGAACATTTGAAGCAGCTACACGAGAACGATTCGGAGGGTTATCTGGCCCTGTCAAAATCGTTTGCGGAAGAGTATGCGAAAGAAGACTTCATCATGATAAGCAGCTCTTGTAGGTATCCGTTCTACCAAACCGATTTCGGGTTTGGGAGGCCCAGTTCGGTCCAAGGGTTTTCTAGGAGTAATAAGACGGTGGTGTTGTTGGATGCTATGGATGGTGAAGGGATTGAGGCGTGGGTTACGTTGGATAAGGACGATATGTCCATGCTCGAGAAGGATCCCTCGATTCTTCACTATGCTAGCTAGTTAATTCTCATAATAATTGTTTTCTGAATGTACAAGTTTGCAAAGTTTTTCTTCTGTTTAAGAATGAATGTGGTGCGGTATGCGGACGACGTATGTTGTAATATATCGAGCCCACCAGTTACCTAGGCAGTGGTGTATACAAATTTGAGAAAAAGCGGGTCCGACATAAAAAAATATAATACATATTTTATTAATGTTTTCAATCATGACCACGATGTGCTTTCATATTTTCAAAACATTCTAAAATATACTCATCCTCCAAATTATCTAGGACGTCACTCTCAATATATCTTACAAAAATATTTACAAATTTTTTCTTATTCTATCTATAAAAGAACAAGTAGAAAGTTACTATTGCATAGTGTCCCATCACAAGTGATTATCATTTTGTAATTGAACAAAGTTTGAAGGAGTTTTATGCCATCAAATGTGTTCGAATTTTTTTGATTCATTCAATTTTTTTTATAGATTGGTTCTGAGATATACGACCACGATTGTATATCATTCCTGGCCCAAGGGGTAGGAGCTATTTAACCGAGCAAGAACAACTAGGGGTGTTCAAACGGTGTGGTTACCATGGTAACCGTTTTAACCAATACTTTTTAGATAATTTGGTTTGGTTAATTTGGATAATTGGTTTGGTTTGGTTAAAGTTTTTAGCTTGTTTGGTTTAGGTGGTTTGGTTTGGTTTCAGACACTCCTAACCAACCAAACCAAATTATCCAGATAAATAATTAGTCATATATCTAATATATACACATACTTAATACTTTGAATAACCACTCAATAGTTAAACGTTCATCCTTTTAGACTCATAAAATATAAAGCTTGATATTGTTCCTATAATGTATATTTGTATATGTAGAATGTAGACCATAACATATGAACGCCTAATTTAGATAAATCGCATACATTATGTTGAATGAAAACTTGAAAGCAAAGTCCTTATCAGCCAATGAAAATTGCTAAAAGACTAAGTCAATTCAAAAAAACACAAACATTCATTAACCCATACCATTGTGATAAATTTTGTTAGGTGAATACTTCTATACTAACCGTGAGATAATTGTCTTAGTTGCATGTATTTATGTTAAGGGTGAACTATAACTATGTGTTGATTGTTATGTTTTATTCATTATATAAATTGTGAATTGATAAATTAACCAAAATTTTTCGTACTTAATGATAATATGATTTTAAATTAGTTAATCTGGTTAACCAATTAACCAAACCGGTTAAACTTTAGTTTGGTTAATTTGGTTGTTATATTAGTTTGGACGGTCTGGTTATGATACTGTATTCAATGGTTAATGAAATTTAGTCTTATTTGGTTTGGTAATAACCATGGTAACCATTTGAACGCCCCTAAGAACAACATCGCTCCCGTGCAATTTCTGACAACAATCCGGCAGACACTCCGTACCATATAAATTTGTAAATTATTTCATTATTTTAAAAGTTTTTAGGGCTAATACCACTAGAAAACCCGAACTATTTACGATGTGTCATTTGTGTTCTAAAATATCCAATATGACATTTGTGTCCTAAACTATTTTTTCGTTAGAGTTGACCGACGTTGACCATTAGTATTTAACACATGGCACATTTTTAATAGTTTGGGTTAGGTCATAAATGACACAAAACTATAATAGGTTGGGACATAAATGACACAAAACTATAATAGGTTGGGACACAAATGTCATATTGGATACTTTAGGACACAAATGACACATTCTTAATAGTTCGGGTTTTCCAGTGGTATTAGCCCAAGTTTTTATTTTGCTTTCCTTTGACTAACAACATCGTGTTTTTTGTTTTTTGTAGGAATCACTTAGTCCCATCAGTCATCGAGGGACAAAACGATTGTCCCCTTGGCATGCTCAACTCTCGCCCTATCTAGAGAGGACGGGATTGGACCTGTTGCACTTCATGCGGCTTGATATCGACAACGATCTGCTGACAGCAATGGCAGAGCGATGGCGCCCGGAGACACATACCTTCCACTTTCCCAAGGGGGAAATGACGATCACCCTCAGAGACATTGCCATCCTCACAGGGCTGCCGGTCACTGAAGATGCCATCATCGGCCACTCCAAAAATCCGAAGATGGCTGGGGGCCATTGATTCTCCAGCATTTAGGTTTCGACATGCCGACCACAACGCTTGTCTAAGGGGTTGGGCATCCACCGCTTAATGCGGGGCAAGTATCGATCCCGTGGCTCGTTGAACACATCTGAGCAGAGGTTGTTTTAGGCCCAAACACCCCCCCCCCCCCCCAAAGATCAAGTGGAACAGTATGCACGCATCTACCTCATTGGCTTGGTTGGTGGATTTTTGATCCCCAACAAGGCAAACAGGTGGAAACAAGGCATGTGGTTGTCGTTGCTCCTCCGTGACTGGGACGAGATCAGGAGAAAGGACCACCAGTCTGAGCACTGTTTACTGTTTCATCGTGTTGAGTTTGATAAGCCTTGGTGGAACCAGGTAAAAATCCACAATTTTGGATTTTAATTTTTTTAAATGGAGTGGATAAAAGTTGTAGTAATTCCAAATCATTAACGAGTGTAGGTGATTTGGGATCCATATCCACCTGAAGCGGTCGAGCTGCATGGTCTTAGACACCCCAAGGATTAAAGGACGTGGTTGTGCAAGGTGCCCTTGATCTGTTGGCACATGGTAGAGTGGCACCTGCCGGATCGATCCTTGAGGCAATATTGATTGGAGCAAACAATTCCAGCATCCACGCCTCAAGGTTTCAGAGAGCTCCATGCCATCAATCTACGCCACACATCAAAGAATTGGGTGCGCAGGATTTTCAACAACCTGCTATGATGTAACAGAGATCAAAGGAGGGATGTCATAGTATACCCTCTAGTTCTTGCTCCGCATCAGCCATCCTTTCGTGATAATGAGCGCATTGTGCCCGCAGCCGAGCCCCCACGGAAGAGTAAGAGAAAGGCCCATCCAAGCATTGAAAAGCTTCGCCCAACTCAACAAACACAACTTCCTGAACCATGGCCAGATCATGAGTGATCAACTACAACAAAGGACGCTGGAGGGTCGTCTACTGCTGAGGGTTATGCCTCGTCTCAGGAATATGACATGTTTCCTCAAGGGTTCCCTCAATTCCACTATCAGCAATAGATTCCGATGTATCAGACCCCGCAACAGGAGCCCACAACTTCGACCTACTACCACTCTTCTAGTTCATCTCAGCCACCTCCACCTCCACCTCCACTGCCTACCAATACTCCGGTGGGACGCTGGGTTAAGAGGAATCCGCGAGCAGTTGTCCAACAAGCTCACCAAGAAGAAGGAGGTGGAGAAGGCGGAAGAAGGGGCGGAGAAGGCAGACAAATGGGTCGAGAACCCCGTGGAGGATGAGGACGAGGGGGAGGTGGGGTGGAGGATGAAGGAAACCAGTGAACTATCCATGTTATCTTTTTTTAGTTATGTCTTGTGTGTTTTCATTGAACTATCCATGTCGTGTAGTTTTCTTTTATTTTTTCCATGAACTATCCATGTTGTCTTTTTTTAGTTATCCCTTGTGTGTTTTCATTGAACTATCCATGATTTACGTCTTAGTTTACTATCCATATTTTTAAGTCGTAGATCATAATTCCATCATCAACATCATTAACTTATGATAGTTCATAATTTCATCATCCTTACAATCACTCAACAAGATTAAAACTAAATATCCAAATTAATCATCATTAAAACTGAACGACAATTTAAAAAACAACAAACTCATGGTTGGTTTGGATTTGTGGAGAAATCTTGCAAGAGAGATGGACCTGGGCAACGCCTCTTGTCATGTCCCGGTGGTCTGCACTTGGAGTAACGTTTCGGACCTCGCTTGGCTCGTTGCGATTGATCCATCTCACTGTGAATCGCTTCGGTCCTATGACGACCCTTGGTGCGCTTTAAGCGTAACAGTGGGATAATCAACTTCTCATTGTCTACAAGCCAATAAGCTTCATACGGGGGGGCTGAAACTAGACGAGTAAGAGTTCATGATCGGCTGTTCGGTGAAGTATGGACTCACTAGACTGTAAGGACTAATGGTTATTGACTTAGCTACTGTCATTGCATGTGAACATGGTCTTCTTGTGTTTTGATACTTTTGGCATGTACACTCCCCAGTGCGACTTTCTAAGTGTAGAGTAACAGATTGACGATTGTGCCCACGTCTTCTTCCACCCCATATACTTGTCTCGACAACAAAAATACCTTCATTGCGATTGAAAAGAACAACTCTTTGCTTACTTGATTTTTCTTCGTTCTTCTGCATTTGATGAAAGACATGATGTGTTATCGCATAGCCAGCATGCTCCCTCACTATAGCTTTCTGAAGTCTCTTAACAAACCACTCGTTTACCCTCCAGTATGTCATCTCCACTATGACTGAAATAGGCATTGCCCTAACGGCCTTGTATACTCCATGTATGCTTTCGCCATGGTTGGTGGTTGAAATGTCGGATCTAGCCCCGTTGTCCATACGGAATGTCCACATGTGCAAATGTTGATCTTAAGCCCATACTGCCACTGCCTGGTGAATCTGACGGATCGTCTTCATCTTTTGCTCGTACTTTTTCGGTTGATGTGCAACCGCTTCAAGGTGACAAAAAATAAACAATTAAGACATGACTAATTTTTTCTGAACAATAACCAATGAAATCACACTCCACAATTGATCTCTTATGTCTTTCTTCTTCCCAAATTTGTGTTGTAAATTGGCAAGAAAGTGTCAAATACACTAGCGCCATGTCCATCCTCATTCGTCGTGAAAACCTCCCACAGTGATCCTAATCCCAGCATGTTGATCGGATATAATCGTAATACCCTGATGCTGTGTGACGTGATCGTGTAGCTGTTCAAAGAACCATGCCCAACTTAAGTTGTTCTCCCCTTCAACTAATGAAAATGCCAGGGGGAAATAGTTAAATTTCCATCAACGCCAGTAGCAATGAGAAGAGTTCCTCTGTACTTCCCAGTAA